TAAGGAAATCAATTGAAATCATTGCCAACGAGTGATGGGTTTGTGTCCCAAATATCACGTGTTTTGCATTTATGACATCCCATAGAGTTTGCGGACAAAACTCCATTTGAATATAAATTTCATTGTTTTTAATCCAAGAATTATAAATTTGAAACAAATATTTATGTTTTAATGCAAACATTTTTCTAATATTTATTATAATTTCTTTGGTTTTGTTGTAATCTATTAAACAAAGTTGTGTATAACTATAACTACACTGTATATTAAACTACTAATAAATGTATTTTAATTTGTTACTTACCAGTTTGTAGTGTGTATTTACTTATATAATAGAAGTTATTGTTTATATTATTCTCTACTTTTACAAGCTTGTTTAAATAGATTGAATCATCAAATTGGCCAAGCTGCTTTCTGTAGGAATCTACAGCATCGACAATATCTATACGAACAACTTTTTAAATCAGTGTGTAAAACTAAAAAACATAGGAACAATATTCAATTACCATTATTGTTATTACATGTTTGACAAATAATATAAAACTTATGGCATTCACAAAAATGATGAAAAAATAGTGTGAATTGATTTTCAATTATATTATTAAATAATGAATCGCTTATCTCTACAAATGGTTTAATCGATAAATGTTTTAATTTCCGTAAAATTACTTTACATTCTGGTCTTTGTTTCCAATCAATCTTTCTATACTCTATACTAACACTCATTGAGAGTAGTAATTGGTATATTTCTGACAAATTTATCCTTAGTATAAAATTATTAATAGTTTTGAAATTGAAATTCAACCTAAAAATAAAATTTTATTTTTATAAGGTTTTTATAATAAACTTTATTTATTATTATATGGTTATATAATAACATACTTTCCGTCCCTAATATCGTCGGAATCTAAACCAAATATTTTCGCTCCAATGAGTGCCAGACTATAGACATCTACTAAATGGTTATAATTGGTGCCCGACTTGGCTTCGGGTGCCATATATTGAACTACATCTGCGGTGTGTTTAACTCTACTTTGTCTGTAACGATAATTCAATACATCCACGGATTTAGACAAACCGAAGTCACATAACTTTATATATCTATAATTGTTTTCGTTATCAATCAACACATTATCGGGTTTGAGGTCTCTGTGAATCACATTATTATTGTGCAAATACTTCACGCTTTCGACCAATTGTTTAAATATTTCATATGATATATAATATTCAAATTCAGTCATTATTCTCCCAAATAATTGTCTCTTTATTTTTAAAAGTTGTGTTAAATTTCCGGCCAAACAATCCATAAGAATATATAAACAATTGTATTGATTCCATGAACAATAAAATTTAATTACATATTCTGATTGCAATTTTATCAAGTTTATCGATTCATTCAAAATACTTTCTTTTACTTTTGCAGTCAAATCTTTAAAATTATTTTAATATTAAAATGTTATAATGTTTAATAATTTAATAATATTTTAAAATTATTACTATTTAATGGACATTTCTTAATCGCATATATCTTTCCATTGTGTTTAGCCTTCACTGTAAACACTTCACCAAAACCACCGGTTCCTAAGTCTTGCAATCTTTCATAGTTTTCTATTTTGTATTCTTCAGAAGTTATTTCTAAAGTAATTTATATTAAAAGGTAAATAAATAGTTTAATCATAATTAAAACTATTTAAATAAAATGTATGTTCGATAGTTAGCTTAAGTAATCAATATTTATTTTTATAATTTTGACCGCTTCACATAAAACTTGCATTGAAAGCATTTATAGAATCGTTCGGCTGCCCCGCCCCACTTTTAACCCTCCCCCACCATATGGAATTTAACATGGGATTGCAGTTTAAGTCTATGGCTATACTTTAACATGGGTAACCAAACAATCCTATAAACAACATTATTCAATGCTAAATTGTGGTTAAAAATTATTTTCATTGGATTAGCATTACCTTGAGGATAACATTATCACATAACCAATCATTCCCAGGCTTCCAACCTACAGGAACTCACAATACGTTACGATATAAAGGGGTACAGTTCAGTTTACATTACAATAAATAGCAATACTTTAGATAAATGTACCTGGGGGAGTATACAGGGTGGAGATTAATCGACTTTACTAAAGTAAACTCGAATATCTCGAAATATATTTGGTCTAGAAATTCAAATGATATATCAAAATACTCATCAACTGCGGGAGTTTTTGTTATGATATGGTCAATATGCTTGAC